GAATGCCTCGTTAGGACCCGGATCTCGCGTCCTACTAGTAAATTGTAATAGAGGTCCAAAATCCTCAGTAATGCCAACACCTCCTTCTCGGTCACATTGTAATGCAATTCGTTCGTCTTCAACGTGCGACTGGCGAATTCCACCGGTTGATAGGTCCCGTCGTGTTCTTGCGTCAACGAGGCGGATATCGCCCAATCACTGGCATACACGATAACTACCGGCGTTCTCGTTGTGTCGAAATGGCGGAGGATTGAGGTAGTCGCGATCTTGGTTTTCAGGGTGGTGAAGGCCCTATGTGCCCTGATCCACCTCTCATCCACTGGTTCCGTCAACTTCAGTTCCGGTGGGCCGTGATCTCGAGGAATCGGATCGTTCCGGCCCATGATCTCCCTCAGATCCGATCGTTTCTCCAGTTCTGCAAAATCCACCTCACGTAATTCGTAGAGTACCGAGGCATAGATAGCGTAATCTTCGATGAATCGGCTGTAATAATTCAGACTGCCCAGGAACGACTGCATAGATCGCAGTGATCCGGGGAATGGCAGATCGGTCAGCGATTTCAGATCTTTTGGGTTCGCCTCCAGACCTCCGATTGACACGCGGTGTCCCAGATATCCTACCTTATCCATGCCCCAGAAACCCTTCGCCACACTGATCGATAAATTCCGCTTATCGCAAGCCTCCAACAGATCTTCCACCCTTTGGCACATTTGATCCCACTATTCTGCTGCGATCATAATGTCGTCAATGTATGATCTCCGTCCCGATCAGGATCGTCCGCGACCCCTGTCTGAAATACATCCGTGGCAGCTCCAGCGTCGCCTGATCGCCAGATCTTCAAAATTCCATACAGCGCGTTGTCTACGAGGCGTTGATAAATCTGCGGGGCATTCTTTAGGCCAAAAGGCATGCGACTCCATTCGAATAATCCAAACGGGGAGATAAATGCTGAGATCTCGCGAGCCCGATCTGTCATGGCCACGACCCAGAAGCTACTGGCAATATCCAGTGAGCAATACCATAGCGTCTTATCGCGATCCTCTAGCAGATCGCTGATCAGGGGTATAGGGTATACCATCAGCCTCGTGAGGCTGTTCACCAACTTGTAATCGATGCACAACCTGATATCCACACCGTTACTCTTGCGGACAATCACGATCGGTGAGGCCTATGGCGATGTTGAGGATCGGATGATCTCGGCTGCTAGGAGATCCTTGATCAGGCCTGCGATTTTTTCGCGAAATCGCGTGGGCACTTTCCGGGTTTGGAGTGCGATCGGTTTCGCATTTCAAACATCGATATCACATACGACGCCCTTGGCCGCCGGGGGTAAAGCGTTCCCTTTGCCGATCAGAAGATGTTGCTTCTTCCAGATAATCTGCCGGAGCCTCTCGATCTCCTCGGGTGTGGCCGATCCGGGGTCTCCTACCTGCAGATCCTCGATGCGACCTTCGCAGTCGTCGAGATCGGGATTTCGGGGAGGACAGCGAGGTTTCCCTCGAGATCTTCCGCTAAGAGATCACCACTCTCATGGTAATATATATCATCATCGTCCTCGGTATTCTGTGGGGTGGTCGCAGCTGCTCCTTCCGCCAGCGGATCTCGTAGTCCGACGCCCTCAGTCGGGCAGATCGGGAGTATTGCGTCGGGTTCTTCGCTGGGATCGAGTTTGATCTGGGTTTGATTTTCCCTTGGTGCCAGTCCGATTTTCCGTCTTGATATCCTTAGTGTCCGTCCGATCGGTGGCCTGGTCCGACAAGCTCTCACTTATCCTACCTCCCTCAGCATCGCCGCTCAGGTATCGATCGGCATCGGGGGTAGTCGTTGGCGTAGATGGGCGTCCCCTTTCTGGATCGGGAGATTTTGCCTCGATCCGAGTTGCGTCGGCCATTCCTGCCCTCCGTCGAGACTCTAGGGTCGATATCAATGTTCGATCTCTGTCAATATCATCGGATCCCGGCCGGCGAAGTATCGATCGTGGCGTGGGATACGATGGTCGTTGCACTGCCGGCTCCACAAGGTCCTCTATAAGTTCAGGGGGCTCCGATCTAGCATCTACTGTCGATTCCAATACCAGATTCTGCCATTCCTGGTAGCGACGTGACCCGACGGACACGAACCCTGGGGATCGAGGCACTTTGTCCTGATCCAGTCGTCCAGACGGTAGTCCAGCCGTAGGATCTCTTCTCCGATGTTCGAGATCACCAGGTATCGGATCCGACCGGGGCCTTCCGTCACAGTCGGTACCCATCGTACACCTCTGGTCATCCACAGTTTCTCAGTGGCCGACAATTTTATCCTCGCCGCTGTTTCTTCCGACCGGCCGACCGGGATTCGTAGAGATTGTTCGAGGATCACCGATCTCACCTTCTCGCCATACAGTCTCTTACGACCATTAAGCACTTCGTTAGGTAGCCGCATCGATCCGTCGGCGAGGTCCATCCGTACACCGGCTGGGACCATAAAATCCATGCCCAGGATCGCGTTCTGTCCTGAGAGATCTCCGATCCAGATGTCGAAAAAATACACCAGATATCCCGCTAAAGTGATCTTGATCCTGGTTCTTTCTTCCGTAGTATATACGTGATCACCGATTCCCACACATTCCTGTCTCTGACTAGTGTCAAAATTGCATCCCACCTTACGAGCAAAGGTGGTATCCTAGATTGATACTTCAGCGCCAGTATATAGGAGCAGAATCGCCCTCTCTTGATTGATCCTGCCTGAGATCTTGGCTTGTCGGAACCATTTCCCCGGGGAATGACGTTTCCAATATCCCCAGGACTCTCCTCTTTTGAGATCTAAGGCCCCATCCGCATTAGATCCGGTGAATTCGCTGATCTGAGGGAGAAGGATGGGCAAGGCTGATATGGGTACAAGGGTACCAGGTTTATGGGACATGTAGGTACAGTTCAGGACGAGTGGTTGTGGAGATAGGCTAGGGCACGATATGTTACCTGCTGCTTTCGCGGAAGACCCGTTTGCCTTCAAAAACACCAGCACATTGTCTTGAGCAATCTCGCCAAAGCTGAGCACGTCGCTCTTGAATGAAGATGATGCGTCGTCGAGTGCAAACCCAGCCGGTAAGAAAAGCATCATATACGCTGTGATATACTGAAACTCGTACAATGTCGTCTTCTTTACAGCATGTAAGCTGTATACGCGGGA